CACTGTCCCACCCCCCCCACCCCGCCATTTCCCTTCTCATCCCCCCATCTCCCCTTCTCTCCCCCTAAATTCTGAGCCCCTGGAGTGTCAGGATCCCAGCAAGGGGATGTGGATATTTGGGGGCACCCCAAGCCCGGGCCGGGGGGTTTTGGGGGGCTGGGGGGGGTTCTGTGTTCTAGGTGTGATCTTGCGCTTGCCCGCTCCCCTTGTGCCCTTGCCCCTGCTGCTGTTCGTGTCCTTTGCCCTGTCACTGTTAGTGGGGAAATAAAAGTTGCTGTGCAAAAAAAAATTCCTAAAACCTGATAATTTGGGGGTTTTTGGTGCTGGGAGAGGAGGAAAAGCTGCTCGTGCTCAGGAGGGAATGGAGACAGAGACATGCCCTTGTCCCCAACCTGCTGGGGTAGAGCACCGAGGGGTTTTGGGGGCACTTGCAATTCACTAAATGGTCCCAGCTTGGAGCTTCCAAGTATCTGTAAGTTCAAATTTAAATCAGAGTTTTAAAAAGAAATTTAAATGATGTTTAAAGGAGAAGTTTGAAGCACTGGGAGCTCCCACTTTTGGGACACAGCCCCACTGGGCATTGCCTCACATCCCATTTTTGGGGCACAGCTCAAATATGTGTTCCCACCCATCCCAGTTTGGAGACACAGACTCTCTGGGAGCTCCCTCTCATCCCAGTCTGGGTCCCCAGTTCCTGGGTGTTTGGTGTCTCCACCCCCTCTCCAACCCATTTTCCTGTGTCCAAACCATCCAAATATCACTTTTCTATAATTTTTCCATAAAAATCTGACACCAAATCCCACTTTTACCCAAAATAAGTCTTTATTGTGGATCCACTTGTGGCAATACTGCTGGGCTCGAGGGAAGCTGGGATTTGGCAAAAAAAAAAAAAAAAAAGGATTTGTCCCAGGGATTTGGCTGAAAACTTGGGATTTCATCTAGGATTTGGCTGAAAAACTGCAATTTTCCCCAGTTTTGTCTCTCCCATGTATTTTTGGCACCTGGTCCAGCATCGTCCCCAGTTTTGCTCCAGTCCCCAAACTGGGGGACAAGCCCTCTAGGACCCCCCATCACCCACCCCGTGGCCTTGGGGCGTGCCTGGATCCTGCCCAGCATCCCCCAGCCCATACTCCAGTGGGATCCTCCCTGCATCCCCCCCTCTCCCCAGGACATCCCCAAGCAGCTGCAGAGGTTCCACGGGCCCAGGGGGCTGCTGGGTTCCCTCGGGCTGGGGGAGCCCCGCGGGGTGGCTCTTGCTCTTGTGAGCGGTGACGTTGTCCCGCTTCTCGAACCTCTTCCCACAGACATCACACGGGAATTGGTAGAAGGAGTCAGCGTCGTGTTTCCTCATGTGCCAGTTCAGGGAGGCTTTTTGGCGGCAGGTGAAGCCACAGATCTCACACCTGGGGGAGTAGAAATCCCCAAGGATGAGGCACAGGGAGAGCCGGCCCTGCCATGCTCAGGGCTGGAATGTGCCGTGGGTTGAAGCTCCAATGGGTTGGACAGGAGTCATCCTTCGTTCTGTTCCAGCTCATTAAGCTGTGCCTGCTTAAACACTGCCCTGGAGCTGAGCCTGGAGCTCCAAGGGCAGAAACCTCGGGAGAAATCTCAGCTTGGCTTTTGGCTGGATTGCTGAGGAGCTGATTTTGGGTGGAAAAGGGCGGCAAAAGACTCTGAGGCTGAGCAGAGCTGCAGGGATGGGACTGGGATTTACTGGAAGGGCAGGGATGGGACTTAGTGGCAAGTCAGAAATGGAGCTGGGACTTACTGGAGTGGCTTCTCCCCGGTGTGGATCCGTCGGTGGATGATCAAATTGCTGCTGGTGCGGAAGGAGCGCGCACAGAACTCGCAGATGTAATCCCGCTTGTCTGGGAGGAAAAGAAAAGGGATCGGGCTGATCCAGCCTGGAAAAACCATCAGGGCCCTCGGGATGTGCTTTGGGAGCAGGGAGACTTTCCAGCGTGGGAATGGAGATGATAAAAGGAGAGATTTTTGGAGCAAAGGGCAACAGTGATAGCTCCCAGGGATGGGAATTTGGGAATGGGTGGGGAAGGGGGTGTGAATCCAACAGGAGCAGGTGGAATCCGTACGGGAAGTGTGATCCATAAGGGAGGTGTGATCCCTGTGACAGGAGCCACGACCCATACAGAGGAGTTGTAACCCCTACAGGAGGATGTCCAGGGAGGTGTAACCCATAGAGGTGTGATTCCCATGGAAATGCCCCACTCACCGCTGTGCAGCTTCTCGTGTTCCTTCAGGTGTTTCTTGAAGTTGAAGGATTTCCCACAGGTGGGCTCAGAGCAGGTGAAGGTTTTCTGGTGCACATGCTGGTACTTCTGGTGGTGCTGCCGGAGGGGAAAAAAACCTATCAGCTCCCAATTCCAGCTCCAGGACACCCCAGCACGCAGGCTCCCCAGTGCTGCAGAGTGCACTGGTCTTCCCAGGCACTCACGTTCAGGTACTGGCGGTTGGAGAAGATTTTGCCACAACCCTCGAAGTCACACAGGAGGATCTCACGCTTTGCCGCCTTCCTGATGGAGAAAACATGGGAAAAATCATCATCAGGAAGGAGGAGGAGGGTTGGAAAAGCTTTGGAATATGGATCTGCCCCCAGCTCCTTCCTCATCACCCACCTTCCCTTTTTCCCCACACATAAGATCTAAAATGAATCAAAGGAACCCTTTCAGAGCCTCCTGCCTGTCCTCCTCTTCCTGGGAATGCCTGGAAGCTTCCCTGGCCCCTTCCCTCCTCTTTCCCAGGTACCTGATCCTCTTGGGGCCGATCTGAGCCACGTCCTTGTCACTTGCCCGTGGCTGCCGACGGCAACTGCAATAGGAAAGAGCCACTTTGAGCCAGGCCCTGTTGTCCCCTCACTGTCCCCAGGCCCAGAGCCAAGATTCCTGAGGAAATCCCACATTACATCATCCTCAGGACCAGCATTTCTCCCATTTCCACCCCATGGACAGCAGGAGACGCTGGAACAAATGCATCGTTCAGGCATTGAAATAAGAATAAATTCTTTATTGCTTGTTACAAAATCCTTTCCACATGGTTTGGACACGTCCCAGGACACTGAAATTGGCTCCCAGCCTGGTTTGATCTATAATTCATCCATAGCTCCCTGGAAACAGCAACTATTCCTGGCTGTCACCCTGGAATTAAGGAAAAATCCATTAGAAGTGGATTAAAGTGGGGTTTGGGGAGGAGAAGTAATGGAATGGTGAGAGATGCCAATGCTCAAGCATGGACTCAGCCTGAGGCTTGTCCCAAATCTCTTGAAAACAAGTTTTACCAGCTCAGGGTGACTTTACCTGGGGAAGGGAGGAGAACCCCCTTAACATCTGTAAGGTTCTGCTTTGCTCATAAGCCAGGATTTTATCTCCCATTTTCAACTTGCTGTGACAAAAGGGGGGGTGGGGGGGGAAATTAACCAAAATATTAAAAATATGGTCTGTGTCATCAAGCTTAGCCCAAAAAGGGCTGACCTGAAGCTTGGGCTTGGCTTTGGGAGAAGGCAGAGAGCTGAAAGCCTCACTGGTGCCTCAGAAAAGCTACCAACCCACAGGTATAACTTTGGACATATTTGGAGGGTTAGACCATGGGATTTGGGATGGAAATCAGGCAGAACCCAAAAAAACACCAGGAAAAACCTCACTTTTGACCCAAAAAATAACGGCCCAGATTGAACACAGACTTTTCTACCCTCACACTGGATTTGGGAGCCTGGGATCTGCATGCCCAGCAATGGCAGGGAGAGGGGAAGAGCAAATTCCAACATTACCTTCACTGGGATTGGTCTCCAGGAAGGCTGGTGCCTCTTCCAGCTGCATCTGGGGTGGTTCTGGAGCTGCTGGGAGAGGGGAGGGCATTCAGCATCCAAAAGGAGCCACTCAAAGGGATCAATCAAAGCTGGAAGGGAGCAGCACAACACTCACCTGGGGTAATGCTTGGCATGGGATTGGCACTGAGCCCGTCTTCCAGGGGACAGACGGAGGAGTTACGTCAGATTCCAGGAAAAAGGGGGATTTTCCCCCCTTATTGTATCAAAAGTGTAAGAAAATCCATCCAGGTGAAGTGTCTAGGCTGTTGGATCTGAGGCCGTGCACGGACCAAACCCCAACCAAACGTCCCTTTAACGCTTGTGCAAAGCCCCAGCGAAGCCCTGAGGGCTGGTTAAAGCTTTTTTAGCACAAAACATTGAATATTTTTGTGTGCCTGGAAAGTAGAGCTGGAAAGCCAACACTCAGCTGCAAGGCTGCTGGAGAAGCTGTGGATCCATCAGCGGAGGAGATTGCAGTGGGATTGATGGATTTTGAGCTGTTCCATCTCCAGTCCAGTGGAGCTTTCAATGCCACCACGGGTCTGGTTCAAGGCGTCTTTGTTCCCCTCCATGGCAGCCCCACCTTGGCTGCCTCTCCTTGTTCCCTGCCCACCCTGGGCTGGTCCCACAAGGGACAGGGTGGGCGACACCAGGCTCATGCAGCCCCTGCTTTGTGAGCCAGGTCCCCATTTGCTCACTCAACACCCAACGAGACCCAGAAACAAGCTCTGCCCTGCAGTCAACAGTGCCGTGGGGAGGGTTGAAACCCCCGATTGGGGACACAGAGCTCTTGTCCCAAGGCCAAAAATGTGATGGGTGACCCCCACTGGAGACACACAACGACACGCATGGAGCTCTTGCCCCACACTCAGTGGTACCATACGGGGGTTTATTCCCTCTGGGGACACACAGCTCTTGTCCCGTGGCCAACAGCACGGGGCACTCCCAAGATGACAACTCTGACCCCCGTCCCCTCGTCCCTTCGCCGCTGTGACTCACCTGACCCGGCCGCTCTTCTCCAGGGGGCCAGAGCTGGGCAGGGGCGGCTCC